ATGTTGTGTATGTTTGTGGGGGAAAGGGGTTGTGTGTGAAGGTAGGGAGGGGGGATTGTCTATGTGTTGGACGCTCAGCCAATTTTTGGACATTTTAAATGTTAGTCGACTCTAATCAAACCCAGTTGTGATCTGAGAGCCTGAAAACATTTTTCCAGTTGCAAACAGCTTTCTATTTTTGTCAGACAAAACATGTTGAAAAGGAAATACACAGTAGTCGGTTGTTACACTGTCAGTGTTGGATAAAATCAATTCATTTCATGTGTATTTCTAATAATTGTAACGACCGACTGATAATTTTTCTTACCACATTTGTCTACGATTTTACAAGCAGCTTGTACATTATATTCTACTATGATAAAACCTAATTGTGATCTTAGGAGCTGGAAACAGCTTTCCGTTTTTATCAGAAACATTTCTTTATTAAGTTATTATGTTGGTTGTTACAGTTTCATTGTTGAACACGATCAATTTATTTTGTATGTATATCTACAATTTTACAAGCAACTTCTAAATAATAAGCTCTAACCAAGCTTAGCGTTTCCATTTTTTTGTTAGACGAATTTCTACAATAAGATGTTTATGTTGGTCGTTACACTCTCAGAGGTGGATATAATCCATTTATTTTGAATGCATATGTAATGACTGACAGATAAGTTTTCTCAAACCTTGGTTTGCAATTTTACAAGCAACTAGTGCATACTCTAACCAAGCCAAGTTGTGATTTGAGATTATGTAAAACCTCTTTCATTTATTAGAAAACAGTGTCAGTATGTTGTTTGGTCTATTGCTACACTGTTACACTCTCGGTGTTGGATATACCCCGTTTACTCTATATATGTATAGCTAATTGTAACGACCGACATATAATGGGTTGTTGGTTGTTTTTTTTTACAACTTTGGTCTGGAATTCTACGAGCAAATTTTACATAATAGGCCCTTACCAAGTCTCCTTTATGATCAAAATGAATTGCGTCGATGAGAGATAAAACATGAAATAAAGGAAGACACGAAGGTCCAGTACAGTCGAAATTGTCTGAGACGGGCACATATTCTTGAGAAAAAAATGGCCTTCTCAGACAAGGGCTAACAAAATGTCAGAGGTCCCGTGTCCAAGCTGCGCATGTTCAAGATCCCTTATTGGTGGTCCACAATCGATAAAAGTGTGCTTCGGCCGTCACCCGAGCAAAATTCAAAATTATTTCCTACCCACACTGAAGAAGCTTAATGTGAAAACTACCAACTTGTGTCCCGCGCGCTTATATGACCTTATGCAGTTGCTAGCACCCTGTAACTCTTACCAAAACAAACAAACAAAAAACAAACAGAAAGCAAAACAAAACAAAACAAAACAAGAAAGTTAGGTAAGCGAGCAAACATTGCATCATTTGAATACTGGCAGTCGCACAATAAGTGGAAATTTTCCTCGTGTGCGCGTTGCCTTGCCTTGACCTGAACGATAAGATAAGGGGGAAAGAATAGATTTATTGATAGAGACGAAGAGAAACAATTGCTGAGGTTTGATAAATTAATACATACACGTACACACATCAGTCAACACACGCGCACGCTTATACACCCCCCCCCCCACCATAACATACACTACCACACACACACACACATACATACATACACACGTATACACACGCACATGCACGCACACATACACACACACACACAGGCACACGCACACGCACATAAACAAAGGTTTCTTGAATGCTAGGGGCTGTCAAAAAATAAAGTAACAATACAGGTATCTTATTTCAATAGGCTCTTATCTCCCCACATATAGATTTATGTGGCGTCGGTGGCCTAGTGGTTAGGCTCTCGGACTCGCAACCGTAAGGTCGTGGGTTCGATTCCCGTCAGGGGCCCGACGTTGTGTCCTTGGGAAAGACATTTTACACGAATTTTCCTCACTTCACCCAGGTGGGAATGGGTACCCGGCTATAGACAACGAAAGATCTTGTCAGTTTGTTAGTGTTTGAGCGCTTAATCGGCTGCTTGCACTGTATGCTTCCCAGGAAGCTGAGAATGTTTCGGAGTGTTCTATGGTCTGCTGGGGGTAATAATATAGTGTAAAGCGCATAGAGCCTGCT